TCAGAGTCTTCAGAGTCAGAAGCTGTCTTCACCTAGGTCTTCTTAGAGTGATTATGTCAGAACCAACATCTTGATTTTCAGCTAAGAATGAACAAGTCTTCAGAACCAAGAACCTTGACTTCAGAGCTAGAAGCGAAGCTTATCTGAGAAGCACACAACTTTCCTTATCCAAAGACATTAGCATTAATCAGAACTGTTGATGTTTCTCTAGATGCGGTTGAAGTAGTTTCTTGAGACGTGCCATAATTGATTCTGATGAGATTTCTAGAGAGCTATTGAGAATCAAATTAAACTTTATATCTGCACACTTATAAAATATATGCATTGTTATCATCAAAACTAGAGATTATATGCAGGACCGAAATGTTGTTATAACAAAAACAACAATATATCACTTCCATTACTAGAGACCTGTCCAAAGAAAAAATAACCTTGCAAGGGGACTGTAAAGATGATGATCACTGAGGTAATGACAACCAACAAAAAGGGAGAAACAACTCCTTGGTGAAAAGGTGGTCGGAATCCCAAACAAGATTTCCCCCTTAGAGATAACAAAAAATGGGTAACATTGATGTATCCATGATCCTCATTGATTAAGGGAGATCTTGCGACATTATGTTGCAGAGATTTTCGAAAAGTTTAGACTAAGAAGGGAGAAGTTATGGGTGTATGAGGGATCTGACCTAAAAGCCTCTAAAGACATATCAGTTTACCCCTAGGGGTATATTGAGGTAATGGTTACCCTATGAGAAAGAAGAGACATCATAAAAATTGAGCTACAAATCCTACTAATTCCTTGCATGAGCATTTACAACTACATCTTAGGCATACCCTTCGCAACAATGATGGACGCATTGACCTCCTTTGGCCACCTCAAATTGGAGTATCATAATGTTCACGACGATCTAGTGACGATATGCACCAATGAAGCAAGCAAGTATGAAAAGAAGAATTCAAGTTCATGTATTATCCTTAAAAAGATTAACTTAGTGACCCACACATTGTATGCTTTTCTAGAAGAGATGGAGCAAATACATCAAAAGCAATCGCTAAAGGAAGAAGATTGATGAAGACAAAAAAGATAGCAAACGCGAGAAAAAAGCTCTTGAGGATTCACAAATGACAAAAAATGGGACATGGTGACTCAAAATCTCCTTATGCATCTCCCTAGAAAGATGAGTTATTCGATACACAACGTTGGGAAGCGTGAACTGCACCATCAATGGTCAAGATCCTATCGTGAACTATTCGAGAAACACTCAAATATCTTAGTGCTAAAAGGAATCATTATACTAAGACGTAGGGACACTTGTTGATACGTGTTCGCGAACCATCGCTAATCATGGTGAAGATAATTAATACACCCTTTTTCAAAGATATCAATGTTCCGTCAAAGCTCTTATATTTTCTTCTATCATCGGTGGGACTAAAGAGGAATCTAATAAAGCCCTCGTTCTATGACGTAGGAATAAGGGCTTAGGGGCAACTGTTATGGGTTGCCGGCAAGACCAACGAACAAAGCCAAATAACAAGTGCTGAAGAAAAAAGCGAAATGAACACGTAGACCCCAATCTCACTGAGGACACACAATCACACCTTCCATGACGTCTCTCACCATTAGATCTAACCAAACGACAACCTGCACAAGGCACCGAATCACACGCAGACAATTTTAACCGGTCATATTATATAAAGACCATATCACGCCATTTCATGTATTCAATTCTTTCTCACTCTAAAACTATTTTTTGCTCATTCATAGACTTGAGCATTTGAATATTAACTTTTCATGTCCATCCCTTTTCCACTGCACTAAAAAAACTGATCTATTGTATCTTAACTTTATTTCATCACTTATCTCTAGTTCCTGAAATGAACACAATTCACTGAAAACAATACTTTATGAGAGTGTTAGATTTATGAACGAGAAAGTAAAAACCGATCTTTTCTAGGTACATTTTTCTCCATAAAATTTACTATAAAATTTACTTAATTGGTTCATTACTAGTAATCTCAACTTCTTTCAATCTTAAGTGACGAATTGGGTGCGTAAGTGTTTACCAAAAATTTTCAAAAATAAATGCACCTCCAAAAGATATATGAGTGTTATGAATTTTGGTACTAGTTCCAGCTTTGAATCAAGTGGGTCAAAACTAAAAAGTAAAGAGAAAATTGGCAGGTAACGAAGCACGTACAGAGGGCTGAGAAATTATTGAGCCCATGGAAGTTGTAACAAGAAAATGACATATCTCTTTCTACAACTCATTGCAAGCTGGTTAATACTTCCAACTTACACCACTTACCCCACCCTCTTCCGTACACACCAGAACCTTGTTCTTTTCTTTCCTTTTAGTCATCTTTAACCTTAAATTCAACCCCCATACACACATTACTTTAATAACATTGTAACCATATATTATATCACATACACTAGCTTCCATTTTTAAGTTATTTCACTTCTAATGGTAATTCTAGTATACTCCATTTAGGTTTTAAACTATATCTAATTTAATCCATGTTTCAAAATTTAACTCTATATTAGAGTTTCCAACTAATCGGTTAAACATATTTAACTACATATAAATGAGTCCGATCAAATTGTTTTTTATTTACTTTTTTTTCTACTATTGAATCCATAGTAAGAATGTCACCTTCTTTTGCATGGTGAATAAAACTTAACAAGAAAAAGGGCAAACAAAATTTCTAAAAGAGCGCATATTGATGGAAAGATGATAGTAATATTGATGAATTAAAGAGAGTATATAGAGTGGAAAGTAAATCCTAAAAAGTTGGGAGGGGAAATATTCTTATTGTTGGTGTAGTTAGATCCAAAATAAAGGGGGTAATAGTAGGCCCAATAATAGATTAGAGAGAAGAGAGAGAGAGAGAGGGGGGAGGGGTCTGGGATGAAGTAGTGTGTAAGTGTAGTAGTATAGGCACTGTATAAGTTTGTACCATGTGAAGATTCCCATCCTTAAAATAAATAATTGGTCCCATTCTCTGCATGTTTTCACGTGTCCTGCCATTCTTATGCCGTTTATTACACCATCATGACCATCAGCTACTGCATAGGATTCGAATGCCCCACTCACAAACCAACCATTATTATCTTTTCTTTCTATTAACCTCACTCATCCTCCACGCGCCTTTTCTTCAATCTCCAACCATATCATATTAACAAAACTAGCTACTAAATTTCTTCATTAGAAAAGAAGCTAGTGGAATATACTATAAGATAAAGACCAGTTTGGATTTTATTTCAAAATAGGAAAAAGAGTGAAATGCAATGAATATGGCTTTTTGTTTGTAACGTGGCTTGATTGACTTGTTTAAGAAAATCCCTTTTTGTTTGTTGCGTATTATATATAGAAGATTTTGAAAATTTATATATGAAAATGATATATTTAAGTAATTTTTATAATACAAGATTCTTAACAAAGAGCTGTAAAACTTAAGATCAAATAGTATGAATTGAATGGTTTATAGATCTGACTAGATTGGTATCATCATATTCTAGATGCTCAATCTTAAAAACTAAAAAGATATATTTTATTTTTTATTATAATTTATTATAAATAGATTTGAACTCTTAAAATTTATTGAATATGAAAACTTTTTTTTGAAAAATTATATATAAAGTTGAAAAGATAAGATAATATGAATTGAATGATGTTATAATCTGATTAGATAATATCAAAATCTATTCACGATTCATTGGATATGTTAAGATATTTTGATCACATTCTAGATGCTAAATCTTAAATTAAAAAAATATATTCTACTTTTTTTTATAATTTATTATAAAAGATTTTAATTTTTAAAATTTATTGAATATAAAAGTTTTTGAAAATTTATATAAGACAGTGATGTATTCAATTAATTTTTTATTTAATATAAGATTCTTAACACATACCTCTCTAAAGATAAGATAATATGAATTGAATAGTGTTATAATTTGACAAAATGCTATCAAAATCTATCCCCAATTCATTGGACCTATTAAAATATTCTGATCGCATTTTAACTCAATTTTAAATCTACAAAAATGTATTCTATTTTTTATTATAATTTTATTATAAATAGAATTTAACCTTTAAAATTCATTGAATATTGAAGTTTTTAGAAATTTATATATGGAAATGATATATTCAAATATTATTTTTATACAAAATAAGATATGCAAAGATAAGATAATATGAATTGAATAATGTTATTATCCGACTAGATGATATCAAAATCTATTAACAATTCATTGAATCTATTAAATCTATTAAGATATCCCGATTAAATTTGTTCTAGATGCTATATCCTAAATCTAAAAAATGTACTATATTTTTATTATAAATAAATTTTAAAATAATTAATATATCAGATTTATATATATAAATCAAATACATCGAATATCACAAAATATAATTATAAATAGTGGACAATCATCTCTCATACATTCAAATTTGTAAGTTTGAGCTAGATTCAATTTAAAATTTACAACTATTTTGTTTTATTCATGTCTATGAAATAATGTCCAATTTTATGTTTTTAAATAACACATATAGGTGTTATGTGCACTAGTAGTGACATGTATCTTGGTCGTCCAATCAAAATCACCTATCTAGATTTTAAGCTAAACTTTATTTATTAAAAACATTCAAATCTTAATCAAACGGTGTAGATACACAGTCATAACCTAGGTCCAAATAGCACACATGTATAGAATATAATAATTAGTTAGGGTAGTGAATTCACTTTCTTCTAAAAGGGTGTGGTGGTGGGCAATCTTTCCCTTCCATACAAGGACAATTTTTTGATAAACGTGAGAGAGAGAGGGGGGAGAGAGACAAAACAAGAGAAAAAGAGAGAGAAAAATAGAGTTTTTGTAAAGTTGCATAACATTAACATTATGCTGATTTATTTCACACTGAGCATATGAATTGAATTCAAAAGATAGTACTACTAAAGTAAACAAAGTGTGCTCTTTTCTTTAACACCAAAACACAAACATGTTTGATGGAGTCCCAGACCAATTCCACCAATTCATAACTCCAAGAACCTCTTCTTCATCACTTCCTCTTCATTTACCTTTCCCTCTTTCAACAACACCAAATACCAACAACAACAACAACACTTTTCCAACTTTTGATCCTTATAATCATCATCAATTACCACCCCAACTTCAACCAAACAATCTCTTGCACCCATTACACCATCCAACCAAAGATGAACGAAAGGAACAAACCAATACTCCTTCGATCAACAACTTCCAAATCGAAAGAGATCAAAGACAAATACTACCTCAGCTCGTTGATCCGTGGACCAACGATGAAGTTCTTGCACTCTTGAAGATCAGATCCAACATGGAGAATTGGTTCCCGGATTTCACCTGGGAACACGTATCAAGGTATATTCAATTATCTTCTTAACTAATTTTCATTGTATAGTTGGAAATCATAACTAATTTGCGAGAATATTTGAGATTATTTTTGAAAAAATTTTCCATGTGGAAGACAAAGGCACACGTGCACCTTCAATTCAGCTTACAGAGAAACTGACACCACGAGACACACACCACGAGAGAAACAGTAACAGAATTTGTCTATTAGTAGTATTATTATTGCTATGCATTGAAGACGACTGTGTTGTGTGTGTGTGAGTAATTAAGTGCTTTAATTTTAAGCTCAATTGTTGTTTTGGATTTATATACTTATGGTGTGTGCAGGAAGCTAGCTGAGGTTGGATTTAAGCGTAGTGCAGAGAAATGCAAAGAGAAATTTGAAGAAGAAAGTAGATTTTTCAACAATATTAATATTAATCAGAATAATAATTACGGTAAGAACTTTCGGTTTGTTACTGAACTTGAAGAGGTTTATCAAGGTAGTGGTGGTGGTGAGAGTAAGCGGAACGAGGTGCAAGACAAGATGAGGAGTGGATCGAATGATGATGACGATGATGATTCGAGAAATGATGATATTTTGGTGATGAAAAAAGATGAAGATGAGGTGTTTGAGAAAAGTACTAGGAGTAGGAATGATGAGAGGAAGAGGAAAAGAGGTGGTGATAGATTTGAAGTGTTTAAGGGTTTTTGTGAGAGTGTTGTGAAGAAAATGATGGATCAACAAGAAGAGATGCATAAGAAGCTTATTGAAGAAATGATTAAAAGAGATGAAGAGAAGTTTAGTAGAGAAGAAGCTTGGAAGAAACAAGAGATGGAGAAAATGAACAAAGAGCTTGAGTTGATGGCACAAGAACAAGCTATTGCTGGTGATAGACAAGCCAATATAATTCAGTTCTTGAACAAATTCTCATCAACAAATTCTTCTTCAATTTTAGCTTCAATTCAAAGCTTTGGAATCGGAAAAGAAGACAAATCCAAGGTAATTACACCTAAACATTTCTCAAATTCCACCACATTGCACTCACAAAACCCTAATCTTGAACTCCATGACAAAACTCTTCCACCAACATCTGAAAACCCTAGCTCAACCCTTCCTTCTTCTTCTACTACTATGCCTCAACCTCGCAATTACCCCGTCGGCGGTGAGAAAGAGGATATTGGTAGAAGATGGCCAAAAGATGAGGTGTTGGCATTGATAAACTTGAGGTGCAATTACAACAACAATGAAGAAAAAGAAGGAAACAACACCAACAAAGCACCACTATGGGAGAGAATATCACAAGGGATGTTGGAGTTAGGATACAAAAGAAGTGCAAAGAGGTGCAAAGAGAAATGGGAGAACATAAACAAGTATTTCAGAAAAACAAAGGATAATGCTAATAGAAAAAGGTCACTAGACTCAAGAACTTGTCCTTATTTTCATCTATTGAGCAATCTTTATAATCAAGGTAAACTTGTTCTACAATCTGAAAAGAATGAAAGCAATAATAACAACATGAATCTGCCACAAGAAAATGCTGTTCAAGAGAAAGAAGCTCCACAAGATGATGATAACAATGGTGGCGGTGAGTCTTCTGAACAAGTGGGGCCTGCATGCTGGTAGTTTCACTATATGTAGCAGGTTCATCATGGAGGTGAGAAAAAATTTATGCATGTACCTTCTTTGGATTTTGATAATCAGTTTTCATTTTCATTGATTTGTAGATTTTCAATGACATATAATAAGTACAACTTTTTTTTATTTCTTCAGCATTAGTTTTTTCTTTTAACAAAACATTGTTGTTAGTAATAATAATATTGTTATATTAGCAATAATTATGTTATTTGAATATTAAAATTACAAATATTATTCGATATTTTATTTATATAAGTATCTATTAGTTTTAATTTTCTATTACTACTATAGTAAATTTAAATGAATTTGAATTTTGATGAGCACCGACAGTTTTGAGGAATGAGAGCAATAATGGTGGAAATGTAATTTTTATAGATTCCATTTATTCTTTATTTTTTTTATAACCTTTGAAAAATAAAGGAAGTGAAGGTAAAATATTCCTTAGGACATTCTCTAGTTTTTTTTTTTTTTTGGTCAAGGACATTCTCTGAAACTAATAAAAAAGGTTAGAAGAATTATCAGCCTTTCTTTCAAAATTGTAAATTCCTGCCTAAATTGATTTTTTTTATGATGTCAAAATTTTTAATATTACATCACATTTTATTAGAAAAATAATTTGATACGTATAAAATTTGATTTAATTGGATATTTTAGAATGTAAAATGGAATTTACTTCATGAATAAATTTTAATTTTAAACTGAAATTCATAATTTTTTACCTCTAATCTTTGTTTTATTATTCAAATCATTTTAAAGGTTTTCAGAAATCACATATTTATAAGTTGGGAGTACAATGGGTAGGTTAACATAGTAAATTGCATCATCAACCTGAATATCTTGAAAATAACATCATAAGTTACTGCACATTTTAAGAGAGCACTTGTTTTTAGATGTTTTTAATTTTTGTGTTAAATCCATTCATATATATAACATCACATTTTGGGAGTTGATTTGATGAAGATGACGAGATCTAAGAGAACATTTATTTTTAGATGTTATTAATTTTTGTGTTAAATCAATTCATATTTTGATTTTAATAGTGTTTCACTAGTATATGATAGAAAATAATTTTGTGTTAAATCAATTGATAGAGAAAGTCGCTCCAATTTCAATTGAGTTCTTCACTATTATATATTATGAAATTGGTCTATCGGTTAAACCGATCCTTAACTAATTAAAAATAAAATAAAATTGTTTATGTTAGAAGTTGGAGCAAGATATTAGAATATGTATTTCGGTGTTTTAAGAAAGTCGTATTTGATTTAGTTGTGATAGTCAAATATAACATGTGTGTCGAAGTATGTAAGCAAATATTTGACAAAATTGAATATTGTAGTTTGTAAATTGTATATTTTATTGCCTATATATAATAGTATGTTGTAAATCAATTAGTAGCAATTTCATAATTTCCTTTTCTCACGATATAATTTCTCTCTCTTCATTTTCTTGAAAACTTTAATTGTTCCAACGAACTAGTATCAACGAAGTCGGTTGCAATTCAGAGTGAATCTATAATGACAAACGAAAATTCAAGATCAGCGCAATTTCCAGCGAATCTACCGATTTTCAAAAGTGAGAACTACAAATAATAGATTGCGCAAATGAATGTCATCTTTAGATTTCAACATGTCGTCGAAATCATAAGTGATGGAGTACATGCGTTGGAAGTGAATGCAAATGATGCTCAAAAGGCTGCACACAAGGAACAAAGGAAGAAAGATGGAAAATATATTTTTAAGATTCATCAATGTGTGGATTCTAGCGTGTTCGAGAAGATTATTGTTGAAGAAATGTCCAAAGGAGTGTGGGACAAGTTGAAGAACTTGTACGACAGAGATGAAAAACTAAATAGGGTGAAGTTGCAAACACTAAGAAAGTAGTTTGAGATAACACAAATAAAAGAAGATGAATCAATTGGTTATTTCTTCTCAAGATTAGTGTTACTCACAAACCTGATGAATGTGTGTGATGAATCGATCAATGACTTGTAGAAGATTGAGAAAGTGTTGAAATCTTTGACTGTAAATTTTGATTACACGATAGTGTCTATTGAAGAGTCCAAGAACCTAGCCGAGATGAAGTTAGAAAAACTTCAAATTTTATTAGAGACTCATGAGATGAGGTTGAAGTAGAGGAACTCAGAAAGGGAGAAGGTGGATGAACAGGCATTGCAAGCAAGATTCATCAAGAAAACTGGTAGGCAAAAGGTGAAGCAGAGAAAGAATCTTGCAAATGATAACAAGTCAAGAAAAAATTTAAAGAATCACTTTGATTTAAGAAAGTCATGGGCAACAAGTGTTTGGGGAAGGAACCTGACATGAAAGAGGTGCAGTGTTACAAGTGTCAAGGATTTGACCATTATGCACAATATCGTCGAAGAAAGAAGGAATAAAGAGCAAAAGATAATGACGAAGTTCAATATGCACATGCTGAAGAAGGCGACTTTGATGATATGCTACTAATGGAAAATACTCAGTCAAATAATAAACAAACAAATATGCGGTACTTTCAGGATTTATCAATCACATGACTGGTAATAAAAACTTGTTCACCAAGTTAGATGAATCGGTTAAGAAAGTGATCATGTTTGCAAATGGTAGACATGTCATATCACCTGGAAGAGAAAATATAGTTATGTTGTGAAGAGATGGTCAAAAGGCCATTATTACTAATGTATTGTATGTAGCTTCGATGACAAGTAATTTGATAAGAATAGGTCAATTACTTGCAAAAGGGTAACACATGAAGTTGGAAGAAAATCATATGAAAATTTATAATGGTGACGGAGGGATGATCTTGAAAGCACCATTAGTCGATAACAAAACCTTCAAGATTGAGATCGATAAGGTTGATGATAAATGTCTTGCTTCAACTAATTAGCTATCGCATCACAGGTATGGACACCTAAACTTCATAGATCTAAATATGCTCAACCAGAAGAAGATAGTGTATGGGTTGCCTCAGGTGAAGGAAACAAGTTAGGTGTGTAAGGAATATTGCAAAGCAAAGCAGGCTAGGAAACCATTCAAACATGACGTGTCCATGAAGTCGAGAGAAAAGTTGGGTTCACTCTGATGTGTGTACCTTTTGAAGAAAGTTCAAATAGAGGTAACTGTTATTTCCTAACTTTCATAAATGAAATCACCAGATATATGTGTATTTACCTTATTGAAAAGAAGAGTGAGGTGTTCACAAAGTTCAAGAAATTTAAATTGCATGTTGAGAAACAAAGTGAATGCAATTTAAAGAAACTGAGAAGAAATGGTAGAGGTGAATACACCTCTAAATAATTTGCATGATTTTGCAATGATGAAGGTATAGAGCATGAGGTCATTGCACCCTATACACCTCAACATAATGGCATAACTGAGAGGAGAAATAGAAATATACTGAACATGACCAAAAGTATGTCGAAAGCTTAATGAAATGCCAAAGAGATTTTGGGGTGAAGCAACTTCGACAACAGTATACGTTATAAATAAATGTCCAACCAAGAAGATATATAGTCGAGAAGACACCTTATGAGGCTTGGATAGAACTGAAGCCAAATCTTAGTCACCTTAGAGTTTTTGGATCAATGTGTTTCAGACATGTACCTGAACAATTGAGGAAGAAGCTAGATGGTCGAAATCAGACCTTGGTTTTCATAGGCTATTATTCGATTGGTGCATACAAGCTGTATTCGCCAAATGATAATAAACTAGTTATTAGTGGGGATGTTCTGGTGGATGAAAACAAAATGTGGAATTGGACTCAGGGATCAATTCGACATGAGAAATATATAATCATGGTTCTACTTGAAGAAGACTAACAAACTGAAGTCACAATCAATCAAAATGAAGAACTGTTTGATCATAATGTTCGAAGATTGACTAGAACGAGAACTGGGTGGAAAAGGCTAGCTAGATATTAAAGATTTATGCATCAAGCCATTGATGAAAATGGTGACCTCATATGACAAGTGATGTTGATGACTGAATCATAACCAATTGATCTAGATCAAGCCATGAATGATTCAAATTGGTTGGCATCCATGCAAGAAGAACTTAGGGAAATCGAGAAGAACAGGCTTTGGGAGCTTGTTAAAAGGTCAATCAAGAAGTCAATTGATGTGAAGTGGGTCTACAAGTTGAAACTAATACCAAATGGTGAAATTTCCAAGTATAAGGCAAGATTAGTGACGAAAGGTTTTCTACAAAAACCTAGTATCGATTTCGACGAAGTTTATACACCTGTTGCAAGGCGGGAATCCATCATTATTGCTGTATCGAATGCAGCATACAAAGGATCAAAAATACATCAAGTAGATGTAAAGACAACATTTTTGAATGGAGCGATGGAAGAAGAGTTCAATGTCAGTCAACCACTAGGATTCAAAATAAAAAAGCAGGAGCACAAGATGTACAAATTGAGGAAGGATTTATATGGCTTAATGCAAACCCCATTGGCTTGGAATAAGAGAATAAATAACTTCCTGATCATGGCAGGTTTCATAAAATATGCTTTGAGCATGGAGTGTAGGTTAATAATTCAAGCATACTCAGTTGAGTCATTATATGCTTGTATGTGGATGGATTGTTTATTATAGGTGTAGATGAATCAGAAATAAAAAGGGTCAAGTAAGAAATGATGCATGAGTTTGAAATGTCTGGCCTAGGATAATTGTCATATTTGTTAGGGATGGAGTTTAAAGACAGAATTGAATGATTCTTTTTGCGCCAAAAGAAGTATGCCCTAGATATCTTGATTAAGTTCAAGATGAGCAACTACAATGTAGTTGTTACATCTTCAGAGACTGGAGCAAAATTGAGAAAGAATACAAACGATGAATTTGTAAGTGCAACATTTTACAAACAAATCATTGGATCCTTAAGGTATTTATGCAACACCAGGCTAGATATCTGTCAAATTGTCGGGTTGTTGAGCAAATTCATGGAGAAACTTCGAGAATATCATATGATTGTAGTCAAGGGAGTGTTGAGATACAT